TTGCGAGTAATGCTGCGGAATCTGCAGCCACATTGGTACAACGGAGTGCAGCTGCCCATCACTTGAAACATGCTACTCAAGCCTTTCATGAGTTAGGCATATCATCTTATATTTTTCCTTGACCACTGAGCTCTCCTGATATGAGTCTGATAGAAGAAGTATGATGTCTTTTAAAATACCATATTTGAAACTGGCATCACTGCCCAGTCACCATTCCTGACCTCTACTCTGCAGTTCAGGAAGAATTGGATAGAATCACCCTTGATGAAATACTAAATCTTACATCCTCACTTCCTAAACAGGTTGAGGAACTTCTCTTAAATTGTGGTGGTCATGAATCTTGGTAGTATCTTGGATTCAACTTTCTTTTTTTTTTTTTCTTCCCTGATTATTTTCCAACCGTGATGATGTCTCCACTCTGCTTCCTTTTATACTCTACACTCCAAATATTATTATCTCATCCCCTTAAGTATTGTCTTCATTAACTATTCTTATTTTTCTTCAGTGTCTACTGTTTATGGCCTTCTATGATAATTGTTCCTAAAAGACACTGTAATTTGCTCTCTAAAGTTTCAAGTACTACATCATGTAGTCCGTCGTCATTAATGATCACTTGATGCAACAACCCCTGTCTTTAAGTGTCCTGTAACACTGCTTTTTTTCCACCTGTACACCCTGATCAACACGCCTAATCCTTGGCTTGCTACCCAAAGTTTTCCGCCCTTTATAACCCTGCGCGAGTACAGCGCCAAAGTTTTGTGTGTTACACTCGCAGTGGGCATTTTGTTAGCAACTGGTGTAACATACAAAACTTAGGCGCTGAACCTCCGTATGATAGCAAAATACACTAACCCGGTTTCGTGGTGTAGTTGGGGGTAGTACCGGTATTATCGTCTTGGTTTCCTTGTTATGTGCCTTGGCTGGGGATATTTTTGTGTAGGAGTTTTCAGGCTTCGAACGCTTTTAGGATACTGGGATTACACAAGTATTTGTAGAAATTAAAATTACGCCGACGTCATTCTTTTTAAGCTCAATAGTCGAGATATCTGAGTTAGCATCATAGTAAAAAATACTACCTCCGCTTATGGGCTGTCCCGCCCGACATAACCTCAGACACGATTTCTACGAGTGCGGTGAGATCAGAAGTGGGCGAGGTGAAACTTACGGTTGTCAAGATCAGAGCCCTGGAGGGGGGTTAAGCCTGGCTGTACGGGTGGTGTTTTATTGCGACTTCGAGACGAGACAAGAATAGAAATATTTTCAGAACGTAAATTTACTAGCGCCTGACATTCCTGGCTAGATGGCCATGTCGACTACGCCTGAATGAGGCATTGTGACTAAATTCGGTTGGTACAAGTGCAAGTAACGGAAGCCATACCACTACTGTACTTCGTAGCCTTAATCTCTCGGTGTCACGAGCACGCTATCTGACACTTTCCCTCTTGGGGAGACCGTGGTGAATGAACACCCATTCTACGTGCATTACTGAGCCATTTCTCACTCCTGAAGGTTCGCCTTGAGTTCGAATTTTGTAAGCGATAGCTGGGGACTTTTTTTTTTGACCGAGGAATTTGGTTTATTAATTTGCTTCAAGGATTCGTACTTGGGCTTTAGGTGGTATGATAGAGGGTTACACCAAGGCTTAGCCCGTGATCCAAGTACTGTACCTAACGTGTTCTTAATTTATGATACCCAATCAATTGAACTACTGCCAGGTAGCGACTTTAGCAGAAATTTTGCTAAATCCGATACCAGTAGTTTGGTAGAGATAAATGGCAGCGAAAAAAGTCGCATGCAATTGATGTGAAGGAGGACGTTATAACACCCACCCAATTTTTATATTGACGCTACAGTATGGCACTCGGGTACACTACCTGCAACACCGCTGGTCAATTCTTAATACAACTTCAACAGAGGATGCTACCTGGCCCCTGCTCACTGAATTTTAGAGGACTCCAAAGCCGTCTAGTACCGCCCTTCATATAACACCCCCCAAAACCACAAGCTATTAAGCGTAAATCCCCTACCTTACTCAAAATGTACGTACACACCCCGGGACCCGTAGGGAATCACCCCAGACCAAGTATCACCCAAGTCAGTCGCTGGTACTGAGCACTTGTACCTCCCCAAACCAGCGCCACCACCACCTTCTATAAAGGATCAATTACTCCTCAAATACTTATATGCCTCCGGGCCCCATTCTTCTTCCCTCATACACGACGAATCACCTATCCTGCCTTGTTCGGTAAGCCCCCCCCCCTCAATAGTTGATGTTTCCCTGGAGTATTGATTCCGACACCTCGTGGGTGCCAGCACAGGGGTTGTCAGAGCGCCGACGTTCAGCACCGTGGTGTTGTTCCTGTTATACTCGTTTAACACTGATCTTGGTGTATTTTCTGTTGGTTACAGCTCACAATCGCCAACACCAAGGATTTTCGGTAGCCCGAGTTTTGGTTTCCAGGGCGTGCGGTGGATGAATTACTGCTATAGGGTGGCTATTTATCTGTGGGTATGATCGTTGGTTTACAGGAGAAGTATGCAAGGCGCCCGGAGCAGTACGTGGATCCAGCGTGCAGTTATGTACACTGCGTGAACATTTGGGTCTGAATTTAGTGTAGGCTCTCAGTGTGCGTAGGTTACTTGCCATACAGATTTTTGATTCCCATACTTAGGTACTCCACATAGGATACCTGTATAGTACAGCAGTACCTGCATCGGGTGGGTTCAAGGCCAGGCTATAAAAGGGGGGGTGCAGTAAAAAGACAGTTTTGTCTTCTGCTATGATAAAATTGAAGTGTTATATTATGCCCTGATATAATGTAAGCGTTGGCATGATGTTGTCAGAGGGATATGATAGCACGGCGCCTGTGACTGCAAATATCAAGACAACGCACATCTCCCCGATATGATATCCTTGCGCTGAGAGGGAGGACAGAAGGGAAAAAAGACAGAAACCAAGGGAACACCAACAACTCACCTCCTAGCTAGATATATTTTTGGGTAGGATAGGCTAGAAATCACTTTTCCGAATATAGTACACTTCATAGAAAACGCTTTTGTAAGTATTATATTACTCGAGTATTTCTGCCTATCTTCACCCTGCAAGCAACACCCCAAAACTCCCAGCCGAGCAGAACACAGAGGAGATCTGCGCGAGACTACACCTGCCTGCCTACCTTCATACAATCCAACTACCGGTGCTGCGCGGACCAGTAGGGGGGGGATAGAAAGGTTTGGGTCAATGGACATGTGTCGCACCCCTCACTCAAGCCACCAAACAATGCGCACTCCCAGGCTGAGAGAAATGTCGGATTCGCTCTTTATAAAAAACCCCCTCCTATCCCGCCGCCGGTGATCTAGTTATTTCGCACTATTCGACGGATTTTGAGGGAGGAAAAGAAAAAAGGGTTCTTAGTGCGGCGTGAGGGTTTTCCGGATTCGATGGATTCTATTGATGGATGGAGGGATATCACACGGTGTATCATTTGGGAGGACCTACGTCGGCCGATATCAGAGGTGGGCTGGGAGGCTTGAGTGATGGGTGGGGTGGTTGAGAGGTTGTTTGGTGGAGAGTTGTATCATACCGTCATAGTCTACTCCCGCCCGCCGGGCAGAGAGGCTAGGGCCTTGGCGAGCGAGAGGGGAGGGGAGCGAGTGACAAATTGGGATTGGTGACCACTCCTTCTTCTTTGCCTTTTATGCCTCCCTCTACAAGTACCCGAGTACTCTAAAATACAAGTTTCTCCCGTGTGTAAGTTACCGGTATGTGAGATCTCTCTTCAGAGGCATTACCGGTATGTGCTGATCATCCATACAGGGCGCGACAGGATAGTCTACCAGCACCGGGAGCGCCAAACATTTACTCGAGTAGAGTATTGTTTGTGGTAAACCGGTCGGTCGGTCGGCAATAATCGATTACCAGTGAGATGTCTCGGTTTCAGCTGCAAATCAAACACACAATCCTTGTCTTGCCCACTAGCCAATTAGATACAACAGGGTCAAGGATATCTTGTGATCCGGGGTGGAAGGTGACGCAATCACCAAGAATATGATCCCAACGGCCAAAGCGGGGTTCAATCACCGTGCTTTCTTTCCCCCCACGAGATACCAATACCTGTACCGGTATTATGATAGGAGATTTCCCATAAATAATTCTGTCCCTCCTCTTGGCGAATTTTTCCCTTCTCTCTCATCACCTCCTCGTCTCTACTCATTGGAACAGAATAAACAAACAAGCGAATAGACAAGACAGCCAAACCGTCAACGTCAGCTCAAATATTCAGGTCGTACAGCCATGGCGGGGTCGACATTTTCCTCCCCAATGCTTCTACCCCTGTGTCTGGTACTGATTTACGCAGCACTCCCAGCGCATGCTTTTGGGGCCGGGAATATCGCTTCGGTTTCAACGGTTGAAGGACAGAACTGGAGACATGGTGATATTGAGGATGCACTGTTGAGCATTTCCATGGCAGCAGTGGCCGGTGGGAAGAGGTTTAGTTTTATGGACGTGAAGAGAGTGTACTTTGGAAACTGGTTGAGGGATTATTCGCAGGCGGTTGACGTTGGTGCCTTGAAATATGTTGAGGGACCTACGGTCAGGCTTTTGGTAAGTTTGACCTTTTGTAACCTTTAGGGTGAGCGGGTGGATGGGTACTAACGATGAGGGATAGCTGTCGATTCTGAGCTTCATGACTTTCGGGTATGCCACGGGAGAGTTCGAAGTTACGGACGAGAGGTTGGGATGTTACCGGCCCGAGGAGCACATTGGTATGGGAAAGTCTTTTTATTATGGGTGACATGCTAATGGAGTAGATAATCCGAAGGATTATGCCGATAACGAGGATGCGCGGCGGTATGATCCTCGTCTTCGAGGACCTGTTGACGAGGCTACCGAGTTATCCGTTGACCCTCAGACCGGAATGAAGAATTATATCGCCAATGAGAGGATCAGGAACTTGCGAAGCGGAGATCCGATGTGTACTAGCGGTATGAGCTACCACCCTTGAACGGACCCTGTGCAAGTGTTTGCTGATGATCCCGTGCAGCCGGGTTGGTCCGGCATCTGTTCGGAAGGAGTATCCAACTCGCCCGCAATTACGGACAAACTGGTAACAAGGCCGAACTCTACGAAGCGCTAAGACTCATGGGAACCGGGCTTCATTGTTTAGAAGGTATACCTCAAACCCCAAACCATGCGGGACCGGGTCAGTCAGCTGCTAATACGAAGCAGACTTCTCTGCTCATTCCAACTACATCGAGTTAGCACTTATCGAGCTTGGCGAGACAGATGTTTTCCCCCACGTCGGTTCCCGAACGCGATGCGAGGTAAATGGGAGGATGATATATCCTCTCGTTACTGGAACTTTTGGTGGCGTTGATTTGTATTAAACTCTCTTTTCCTTATCTCAATAAACGCTAATACACTCAACAGTCTACATAGCGTTCTCGGTGAAGCTTCGGATAAGCTTATCCAGTCCGAGGTGGAACAACTTGAGTCTACAATTACTGCTGCTAGTGCGCAATCAAGCAAGGATGGCGGCGAACACGGTATTATTAGGGACTTGTTGAAGCAGCTGAAGATTGGTGGGTCGGATGACTTGGATGCTCAGGCAACAAATCTCGAGCAGCAGTCGGAGGCTAAAAAGAACGAACCATGGGGGATTAGTAATGGTGGAGCAGGAATCAAGCGGGAGATTATGCCGTTCTTAGAATGGCATGACAAAATCATGAAGGCTATTAACGAAGCCTTAGAGTCCATTCCTGGACTAACTGCGCTCGTCGAGAAGCTGAGTGAGGCTGTGAGCGTTTTCGTATTTTCGCTTCTAGCACCATACATTCTCCCGATTGTAGCGCAGGCGAAGGGCGAACTGGCCAATGGGTCCGGAGAGGTAATCGGGGGTGCCCGCGCCAAACAGTTTGTTGTTTTCGAAGACCATTACAGCAGTGATCCAACTCACAGTATGCTTTCTAAGGACCATTTTACCAGTAAGACCCACCCGCCACATTAGTATTGATTCGCGGTACTAATGATAATAGATTTGCTAAACGAACCAGCTGGTAAGGTAGCCAGTGAAACTGTCAAATTTGTCGTCCCCTTATTGATGCAAGCCTGGGACGGCAACTCGGACCCAAACTGGGTCCTTGACCAAATCATCCCAATTTTTCACCACCCAGCATTCGTGGATGGAAGTGACGGGTGCGGTAGGCAGGAAGGACGACACAGGATGTTCGGTATAATCCGGCAATGGTGGGAGGAAATGGACGAATCCCGGAAGCAATTTTACCGCCGGTCCTTGTCCGGGCAGGGTGTTGAGCAAGGAAAGAATCATAAGGAGGGGCACGACTCTGGGCATGGGTGTGGGAAGCCGATTCATAGGACTAAGCCGAAGAACTCCGGTGGGGAATTTTGTGGAATTGGGGAGGATCTGGGGAAGGCCATGGGTGGAGCGATTGAGCAGGCTTTGACGGGGAGTCAGAGTGGGGGTAGTGGTTTGGGAGGATTTTTAGGCGGGGTGGCAGCAACGGCACTGGGAGAGACACTCTTGGGTGGTTCAGCGAGCGGGGGCAGGAATGAAAGTTATTCGGAGAGGTATGATGATGGGAACGCTAGAAGTGCGGACAGGAGCTATAGTCATTCCGGAAGAGAGCGAGGCCAGCGGCGCGGAGAGGGGGAATACGGAATGCAGGTGGCCGGGGATTCCCACGACGGGGGTAAAGGATACGCCGCAGCTGTATATAGCGCTGGCGGAGAATACGGGTATTCGGAACAAAGGTACGGTCAAAATTATTCCCGTGTTCCCATTTACGGAGGTGTGGAATACGGAAGCGGGGACTATGACGGCGGAGAAAGCTTCGTAGTACCGGATCACGACCACCACCACCACCACCATCATCATCATCATCACCAACCAGAGGGCCATTCCCACCATCACCACCACTACCATGAACAACCAACTTATGAAAGAACCGACTCCTACGGCAGTAATCACCCTACCGACACCCCATCGTATTCCAGGACGTCCTCATACGCCTCGGAAAGCAGCTACTCGGTGCCCGCTGCTGAATATCCCTACATTCATCCCCACGGCCAATACGGTGAATACCCTACTAACGCGTCTTACAGAACAGAGACATATACCCAGAGCAGCTCTTACGGCGGTGGACAAAGCTCCTACCAAACCTCTACCCGCCAATACCCTGGTAGCCGCGAGACTAGAGAAGTCGTGTACAGCGGTGAAGGCGACGAAGGATATGTGGTCGAGCGAAGTTACAAGAAATATAGCGACGGAGAGGAAGAGCGCAAGTATAAGAGTTACAGACGCGGGGAGGAATCCGAAGACGAGTGTGAGGAAGAGGAAAGGAGAAAGAAGGAGAAGAAGTGGAAGAAGAAACACGAGGGTAGCGGAGATGAGGGGAGTGGGGATGAGTATTATGGAAGTGGGGATGAGGATGGTGGAAGGAGGTATAGTGGGAGTGGGGATGAGGATGGTGGAAGAAGGAGGTATAGTGGGAGTGGGGACGAGTATTACTGAAATGGGGACGGGGATGGTGGGGAGGAGAGGGCACAGTGTGGGTGAGGGCTGGGATGGGAGTGAAGGAGGTATAAGAGATATCCTTAGGTTTTTGCTAAGTCGGTTGGTGGTACCCTGTTGGCTTTATCGGAACGGGATTTGAAATGCTGGCTGTTCTTTATTGTGATGTGAATTGTGGGGAGGGGAGGTGCAGGTATCATAATAGACATGTTACCGTACGATATCTGAAATGTCGGGCAACCTTCGGGGCGGGGTTGCTGTTGCCTCCCAAAAAGACGCGAGCCCGGACTCGACCACCGTTAGCCCAGCAAAAGTACCACGAGTGATCTCTGATGAATTTTATAGCACCAGCGCACATTTCTACCGCAAACGATCTATCATGCTGCAGACGAAAAACCCAACCTTTTGCCTCAGTATGCTATCTAAGCAATATATTCGCAAATACCACTACTTCACTCTTCACTGTAATTTACCACATCCTACCACCCAATACTCCTCTCGATAATCACACCCCGCTATGATATACACCATCCCCTATCGCCACCATGTCCCATCCTTATCGCATCATACTTCACAAGACCGAGGCTCACCTCTACCTTGACACCGTATGCTGCCGGCGGAGATGGGTGGGCGTAAAATCATAGGAGAAGAAAAGAAAAGAAAAGAAAAGGATGGCCGCTGGTAAGTACAGCACTAGGGGGTCGTGTCGTAGGTGTTAAAGACAATAATTGTGTCCTGCGTGCGCCGGCGCACGGGATCGGGCTGTAGTGCTCGGAGGGTTAAAGCCGGGGCAAGCTGAGGGTGGGGTTTCGGGAATAGCGTCAATGGGTCACCCAAATTTTCAGAGGAACGAGGACGATGCCAGAGCGGTGTGGCTACAAGGCTCGGAGGGTAAGGAGTGCTATCATAGAGATTAGTCCCGGACCAAAAGTACCGCAGGTGCTTGAATAATTGAACCCTACGTTAAGGTGTTGGAGTTATGATACCTTCACTGGTAAGGGCGGCACCCCATTCAGGAGAGAGAGCTTTGGACGTCTTAGCACGGGGTTCAATTATTCGAGCTCTTATGATAGCTTTTCTTTTGGGGGGGGGATTCATTACATATGAGGTGGAAGGGGACTTTGGCACCGCGTTCGCAGTGGTACGATATAGCAACCTGCAGCCGCTGGACAAGAGTCCCGACAGAACAAGACATCCCCCGCCTCTCCAACTGGCCCGCCAATCGTGCAATACCCCCCCCAACTACAGCACCGTACCGCATCTTCGGAAAAGTGAAGTTTCGTTTTACCAAGTTCAGGTCTCAAAAACACATGATACTGTACAAAAACGGAAAAATAAGTGCTAGCAAACGCCACGATGCCTCAAAAGCCCCCCCCATTACAAGCGGAAAATGATGCCAATACCCACTCCGCTCCAACTTCCCGGTGAGTGTTGCCCGGGGACGGGGGGGTAAGGCATGTTCAACCAGTCCCGGACTCGTCGGGTGGTGATGCCCACTCGGGAGTAATCCGGTCGTCGCAGTTGTTTTCGTCAATGGGAATGGTTTGGGGGGTTCAAATTCCGTGGTTGTTAGCCCTGGTGTGAGTTACACTGTGGGTATTCCTGCGTCCTCTGCGAATCTTTTGCGGATCAAGTGACCTGTGAAAGAAGGTTTGGGGGTGCTCACCCCTTCAACCGGTGACGGCGGAAGGGACGGGTCCCCTCCATCGTGACTTAACTAGGATTCCAGAAAAAAATTGAATTTTGCTTTAGAAGGGGTTGTCGGACGCAGAGGTGGGGGTGGTGCCAAGACGGGAATGAAAGCTTGGCACGGCTTGGCTTACTGCTTGATTGACATCACAGAAGCTGGGCGGATTACCGTAGAACACTCTACACCACGGCCTTACTTGTCACATTTGCTCGAATACCTCGGGATGGAAGAAAAAGGAGAGAGGAAATGTTTAAACTACATAATTGAATGTCGCTGTCCTGGCCATGGTAACGGGGACGGGTATCCCAGGCCCGTACAAGCATTGCATGCGATCAAATTCTGTCAGGATTTAGGAACTCAAAGGCTTAGAGCAGAGAACGCCGCCGAAAATACCGCAATGTGGTATCGTAGGCGAATAGAAGAAGCACCTGCGCCATGGTGGAAATGGCCACGTTCGGGAGAAAACATGACTCCCCTCGACCCCGGACCAACATATCGGAAGAAAGGTTCACACAAAACTGTCGGGTCCGGCAAGTTCCTTTGAAAATAGTTAAATCTTATGCTCAACTCTCATCAAGTAAAAATTTATTCGCTCTCAATGCTAACGAAATATCGGCGGGCGAATCGAAAAGCAACCATTCCAAACCTCAACGCCTAATAAACCGCCCGCCAATCCATAAAGTATGCAGATGTCTCGGTGCCAGTGCAGGCATCGACGAATGCCAAGCTATCTGAATACTTTAAATTTATGGGTTGGCAAGTGCAGCAGACCCTCGATACAAGAACCCGCCATCCAAGAAAACCCTCGATAACAAAAATTCAAACCTTGGGTAAAAGGAAACCCTCATTACACACAAGAGATCTCCGCTCCCCATCTCCTTCTTGCATCGCAAGTCTGCTGTACAACCCAATCCAGCCCCAATGAATTCTCTCCCCGAATTAACGGCCTTAGTAAATGTTTGTTTTTTCGTCGTTGTCCCCAAGTATTCTATCAATTCTTATTGACACAAACGATTTTAAAGAAATCAGCGAGATCAAAACCAAAAGAGAAAGATACAGTAGTTCGATATCTGTTCAACCCCAACTACCTAAAGTCAAAAACTCGATAAAATGCGAATAAGCCCCCCACCACCCGAAGAAATTAATTGTGTATCAAGGCAGCCGACAACAAATGAAACATCACTCCAAAACCACGCCTGCCCCACTGATTGGCAGTGCAACCGGGAGAAGTAATTAAAAAGGTTCTGCTCCAGAAACTCTGACGTCTGGGTAGAAATAGATGGAAATGTTCTTGCGCAACACTAGAGAAGCGGCCATATTTACCGGTATAAGAAATGAATTGGTGTTGAATGCATTGAGGGAATAGTCTGGAAAGACTAGCCTAGGCGGAAATGTTCTTGGATTGCGCTATATAGATAGAGGCCCCTTATGGGCAGATACTCCCAAGTGGTAGAAATTTTCATGGAGAGAACGGGGGAGAGTAGGAGCGCGGAAGAGTGGGGTATTTATACTGCAGAGAAAAGTTGACAGTCACACACCGTCAGGGACAGGCCGCACAAATCGCCCGCCCCTTTCGCCGGTATTACTTATGCGCACAGTGTCAAACCTTTTTTGACGCCAAGTTCGTGGCAGTTACGCGGCCTTTCTCCCACAATCCGCTTGTGTTTTGTGCTCGCTGTGAACTCACACGATAGCTTCGGCAATGCGTCTATAGTGTAGGTTAATTGTCTACCATAAGGCTTCTAAAAAGGCGCGACAGAGTATATCATACTCCCTCTCCATTCCTGTGGTATTTTACCCTATGATTCTCTAGGCCGTTCAGAGCCAAGGGGATAGATTGGTAAAGAGCCCTCTTACCTTTCGGTAAACGCTAATCCTACCATCACAGACAGTGCGATATTCCGGGGCAGGAAACAACACTATGCGCTCTAAAATACACAGGTCATCTTCCATTTTATGATACCCAGACCCACAAACCACCCATCGCACAAAGACCAGCTCAGGCATCACATATCACACAAATAAAACCCTATCAGTATCACACCACCCCTACTACCGAATCCAGAGATCAAATCGAAGGGCAAATCATCATAGGAAAATACGATGGGTGCCTTCCCATGACCACCGGTTTGGGTTACGAATCTTGCGGAATCAGAGCCCAGTGGGCTTCCACCCAGGAACGGTGCCCACCGGCCGGCCCGTTCTTTGTTTCCGGAGGGCACTGGACATACACAGTATATCATGGATATATGGATCACGTGCTTTGATTAATTGTGGGTAGAGTGGGTAAATTTGAAGCAGGGAAGGGAGAAAGCTCAGGGGTTATTGCGGGGATGTACTTTTACAGTACCTGTACCGGCATTTGGATGTTTGTCTAGTATTTAGCCGGGTGGAGGGGGTGGAAATGATGAGCTACCGGGTTTGAATCCGTTCTGTTCCCCCCTTCCTAGATAAGCTAAGCTGCGTTGCTCCGATAAGATGGTGATTCAAGTTCCTTTGGAGCATTCAGCAAGTCACTTACTTAGCTGGACCTGGTGCCTGAGGCGTTAAGCGTATCTCCCCCCTCCTGCTGAGTGGGACTTCGCAAACCAAAATCTTTATATCCCATTGCCACCCCCGAAAATGAGCGAACAATTCAGAGTAATTGACTCTGAAGCTAACCCTCCGGAGCTTCAGCACTAGTACCCTAGCCTTTAGTACTAGTAGCTGAAGCTCAACTATTCACCGACCTGAGCTCAACCTAGAACACAGACACATAAACTGGGTTAGCGATTCTCCCCTCCCCAAATTTCTCCACACCATCCTCAGAAATGGCCAGAAAATTAGAGGAAGTGTGTCATCACACAACCTAATCCTCTGAAATTCTCTCTCTCTCTATCTCTCTCTTCTTCTTTACTTCTATCTCGGACAAATTCGACTCCCATCGTTCTGAGCATAATGACAATTCCTGATTCGAAAAAAAAAAAAGAAGAAGAAAAAAGTCCACACCGTATAAATTCCCAGAGGTTCTTTTCGTCAATATTCCCATTCCCAATTGCACAATCTCCAATCACGTGGCGCTTTACTTGCTCGCTCACTCGCTCGGCCCGTGGCTCGTGTCAACTCGAGTAGTGCGTCACGCTTTCTGTATAGGGATATTGCAAGTTTCTCGTGCTTCCCAGTGCCCACTCACTCACTATATGCCGCCAATCCCGCAATACAGTTCTTAGGGGGAGAGTTGCTCCCGAGGGCTAATGCCTCCCATGAAGAGTCGGGGATCATCAAACCCAGCATTCCCCAGAGAAATGGGGGGGGGGTAGAAAGGGGATCTTGTTGGAATACGTGGCTTCTCAGGATCCGGTTACCTGTAGTTGACATCATCGTATACCTTTAGTATACAGGAGCCGATATGACCACCTCATCACTACCATAGTTGTGTGGTGTGACTGCTATGTACTTGTAGTATATAAGGCCTCCGCTTGGGCAGGAAGCAGAAGTGAGAAGAGCACAGAATTAAGATTTTTGATACAACAGATCTCATGGATCCGTTCC